GCTACTGCTACTGCTACCACCACCATGAACACCGCATCATGCACTTCGCCGATACGTAACCCTCCCAACAAAACCTTACGGTGCGCTCCTGTCGGGATGATGCAGCGCCGCTCGCAGCCATGCCTTGGGTCGTTACCAAGTCGAGGCTGGCATGGGATGGTAGCTACGGGTTTAGGGTTTAGGCTTAAGGGNNTCGGGGCTTCTAGGGTTTAGGGTTTTTTCGGGTCTGGGCATGATGGTCTTGCATGGTCTCTTCTTTGCAAAGAAAAAGCAGACGGCGACCTGCTGTATTGTCGGAAGGGTGCCAGCGGTTCCGCTCATCAGCTCGCCACCAGGGGGCTGTACCCTACCAGTGCGTGCATGGATCTTGCAACGGCGAAAGATCTAAGATTTGTAACAAAACTCGTGGTTACTCTTATGCTTCTTCTTCTTGTATTATCGATTGCTATCACTGTAGTTATTATGGTGAATATTATTGCTATTGCTATTGCATTCAGGGCTAGAGCTTTAAGCTGGGACCTTCGTTGGGCGGTCCGTCCTGGTCGGGGTATCGGGGGCCCGCTGCCTGCTTTCAGCCACCCCCCCGAAAAAAGCTCGAAAACTTGTGCTACCTTCTGTCCAGCTCCGACGGCCTCTTTGGAACTGCTACCCACAGATCTTCGGCATTATGAAAGCCTAAACCCTAAACCCTGAACCCTAATTGCGAGATCATCATGTCCTACGCATCAGTAGCGTTCTTTCTCGAAGTGGCTGCTGTCATCCTGCTTTCCCTAAACCCTCTTTGAGCTGCCAAATGGCGGCGACAAGGTGAAGTCCAAAGACACAAAGCTTCAGTGCCCGACACTCTGCGAAATCGATGGTGTAGGGTTCCCTAAGCCCTAAACCCTAAACCCCTACAGGCCCTACTTTTCTTCAGGGCGGTTGCGAATCCTTTAGGGTTTAGGTTCAGGCCCTGGGGAGCCTCACATGTGCTGCGGGCTTCTCCTGCCACATCGACACCACTGCGTGCTCTTTTTTGCTACAGGCATCTCTGGCCCATCGCTCAAACAGGGCATCTCCGCATGACGCCTTTTGCGTAGGAACTCGCTTATCATCTTCCTAGCGCCTAGGCTTCTAATCTTACGAAACACGATGTCACTATGTCGTAACTCTCTACATTGAGATCGGAATCAGGACTGGTCATAGGTGCCCACAATCTCCTCGGTTCTTGGAAGCTGAGTGTAGGCTGCTTTCATGCTTGTAGCCACCAGGTTAGGGTTCGCCGATTTCGGTAAGGCTGATACAATGCATCTCTCATTTAGGGTTTAGGGTTTAGGGTGTAGGATTTAGAGTTTAGGGTTTAGGGTCTAGATTGCGGATGGCATCTGCACAGTCCATTCTCTGCATTAGGATGTCTTTTCAAATCCTAAAAATACTACGGCACCCTTGTACAGGGACCCGAAAAGGGACCCTATTTGGAGAACTACCTACACTCAGAATGCATGTAAAAACCTTGTCTAAGCAACCAGGCCACAGCCACCTCTCGCATCCCAGCAGCAGCTGCAACAGGACTTGTAAAGGAAGCAATTAAAGGTAGCAGTCAGCAGCAAAAGCATGAGTAGTAGTGGTGGTAGTCGTCGTCGTAGCAGTAGTAGTAGTACTAGTACTAGTAGTAATCGTAGCAGCAGAGGCGTAGGGGCTGGGCTCAGAGGGCTTGCAGCCTAGAGCCTGGAGGTCTCGAATTCCCTCCACCCGAAGCCACAAAGCACTGTGAGACTAAACTGACTAAACCCTAAACGCTTAACCCTGAACCCTAAACCCCAAATCCTAGGTCCTAAACCCTAAACCCCATACCCTGAACCCTAAACCCTAAACCCTTTAAATCCTAAACCCTGAACCCTCAGAACCAGGAGCCCAGCATCCCTAACTCCTCGGAGTCCAAGCGCCTAAACCCGACGCACGCTCAACGAAGGCCGAGACCCAGAGTCCTGGAACCCCAAAGCCCCTACAACCTTCCTCCAAGCCTTCCAGAACTCCCGCAAAGGCTTTGGGGTTTAGTGTTTCGGGTTTAGTGTTTCGGGTTTATGCTCCCCAGAACAGCCCAACAGTTTCTGACCCCCAACAAATACCACTAGACATCCCCAAGTTGGATGCGCCCAGGGGGCGTACTTCGCCTTGAAAGTGAGGAGCCAGCCCTGGAGCGCTGCTTCCTCTCGTAAACGCGAGGATCAACTTGGGGCGTGCTTGAAGGTTTAATGTAGGGGCCTTAATAATTAATTAGAATAGGGTTTTGGGGTATATTGTAATATAATCATGACTACTAGGGAACTGCCTGCAATAGTATTGGTAATTATTGAGACCGCTATCTTAGGGTCGATGAAACAGGCCAAAGGATCCTTAGCGTTTCGGGTTTGAGGTTTAGCGCTTCTGGAAAAGAGTCCAACAGAATCTTGATTATGGGGTTTAGGGTTTTAAGGTTTAGGGTGGGTCCATAAGGTCTTTTAAGGGTCTATGAACTTGCTGGGCTAAAAAAAAGCGCTAAGCCGTAAAACCTCAAGAACTTCGCCCTTTTACGATCTTACGGGTTCAGGGCTTCCGGGTTCCGTGTCGTTAGGGCTTGAAAGTTTGGGATCTCCATCTGGTACTGAAACAGACTGCCTCTGTTCTGTCTATGGCGAGCCAATGGCTTTAATGCTTCAGGGGCTGATGCGTAGGATTGGGGCGTCGTGGTTGGCTCAGGCTAGCTTCAGGGTAGCACTTGCTCTAGTTGCGTATCACAGCGGTCTCCCTAAGACCGAAACCCTAAATGGAAAGAGAAATTCGGACTTCCTCGGGCCAGCAATTCGTGGCATCCACGGTTTTGGTGCAGGAGCTGAGGCATACCGAAGCAAACGGCGCTAACTTGGGGTTAAGACGGAAAAGGGTTGACTATAGGCTACTGCATCATTACTGCTGCTTTTTGCTGCCTCGGCTGGCAACACTACCAGCGCCTTTCATGGAAGTAGCAGCAGCATTGATTGAAGATACCGCCTACGGGACCACGACGGCGAGCTCTGGCAGGATAATGGATTGGGATGGTGATGATGCTGAGTCTGATGCTGCTGATGATGCAGTCGGCCCTGGAAATCATGGGGACCACACCGTAATGGCAGGAGGCAGCCATAGTCATGACAACAATAAGAGGAAAGAATAACATGTAATGGTAACATGAATATTCACAATACTGGGAAGAGTGCTAACAGTATTTATAAGAAATTAGGATGATGATGATGATGATGATGATGACGATACTGATGATGACGATGATGATGGTGATGGTAATGCTGACGCTGATGAGGATGATGAGGATGATGATGATGATGATGATGATGATGACGATGATGATGATGATGGTGACGGTGATGATGATGTTGATGATGATGATGATGATGTTGATGACGATGATGATGATGATGATGATGATGAAGACGACGATGATGATGATGATGATGAGGAGGAGGAGGAGGAGGACGACGACGAGGAGGGTGAGGATGAGGATGCGGATGCGGAAGCGGAGGACTACGGGTGGAGGACTAAGGCTATGATGATAATACTTCTTGTGGGCACCAATACCACTATTCTGCTTAGTGCTACAAGTCTTACCATTGGTTTGGTCTCATCTATCTCCATAAGCCTCAGACATGAGCACTAAACACTAAACCCTAAACCCCAAAATTTGAAACCCTCAAATTTTAGACACTAAACCACTAAACCCAGAACCCTTAAGCCCGAAGCCCTAAAACCTCAAACCCCAAACCCTAAGTCAAGCTCCTGCGCCAGCGACAGGGGCTCTTTCGCCTCGTCTTCAGTCTCCTCCTGCTCTTTTCGCTCCCTCAACCCTTAAAACCCTAAAAGATCTTAGAACTCCAAATGCTTTGGCTTTCTCCTAAAGCCCGAAAGCCCCTTGAGCAAAATCTGGAGACCCTAAACCCTGAATCTTAAACCCCAAACCCTGGAAGTGAAACTTAAGACTTAAAACCTTTGCAGCTCGGCCCTGCCCTCTCTTCGGGCTTTGTTGAAAGGGCTCCAGGACCCGAACCCTGGACCTGTTCCAGGGATTCCTGAGTTGGGGTTTAGGGTTTATAGGGTTTTAGGGCTTTTCGGGTTTAGGGTTTAAGGTTTAGGGTTTGAGGAGGTCGGTTTTAGGGTTTCGGTTTGAAGGTTTGGGGTTTGATCAGGGATTAGGGCAAAGTTTCGCGAACTCATAAACATCCTGCATAGGTTCTGCCGGAACTCGGTCTCCTTATTGGGTAGTTCAATTCTTTAAAGTAGGGTTCCTTGTTAGGTCCCCGAAATATTTCGGCACCCTCATACAAAGGACCCTAAAAGGGACCCTAATTTAGAGAACTACCCCTTATGGGACTTGACAGGCTTTGCAGGTAAGACCGAAATGTCAAAGAGTACCTACGTGAGTTTGGCGTGTTGTGCTATGAAACGTGAGCCTCCTTCTGCCCCTCTTTTCAACCTGACAAGCCCCTTCTGTCATCTCAGAACGCAATCCGATAAACTCGTGGAGCCCTAAGCCCAAAACGCCTAAGCCCTAAACCTGCGAAGCCCGATCGAATCTCGTATCCCTTAACTCCAAAGCACCAAGCTCTCGGGCTCTTTGCATCTCTTTTTTAAGGCTCCGTTGATGCAGCACCTGCCTCAGCTTCTCTCTAAGCTCCCAAGTTTCCATCTCCTCCAAGACGCTCCTGCAGAAGACGTTGCGAAGCACATGTCCGTGGCAAGCCTCGGGTTGACAGTAGCAGCCAAGACGCTTTCCTAAGAGGCCATCGACATAGCCTCGCATGTTGTCGGAGTGCTCGGCCTCTGTGACCTTCCAGTACAGCTCGATTACGTTATCTCGTGTCCAGTTGCCTTTCTCATCGAGCTCCCGGCAGGTGCCGAAGGTGCCGTGCATGTCCTGAATCAGCTGCTGGTGCTTCAGATAGAGCGCCAGGCAAGCAGGAGCCCGCGGCCAATTTCCACCTCCCTTTGCACTTGTGGTGTCGGTGTAGAAAGCCCGGTAACTGTCCGGGTTATGACCGATTACGAAAGGGTTACCATAGCCACAGTCATGAATCTCTGCTCCAGCATGTCGGCCGATGTACACATGGAGCC